CTATATATGCTGTTTTATATTCGACTTTTTTTCACTTATTATTATGGAAGCATTTTCTCATGTCATGAAAATTATTTAGAACATTCATAAACATTTTTAATGATTTAATAGAATTCAGTCCTATGAATAATATGACATATTTTATGTTATTGCCATTCCCCAGTTTTTGGACATTTTGATTGTTTACCTCCAGTAGAATTTTGGCTAGCCCATGATACTATGTACAAGTTCTCTAATGATAAGAAAATATCGCCATATAATTCATACGTCAAAAATGCAACAACATGTCTCCATAGATGCTGTGACAGAAGCAAGCTGAGCAAATTTGAAAAACTGAAAGAAAGACCCATGTGCAGGGAGCTGGAGAAACAAAGCGGAGAGAGGCAGGAGATGAGGTTGGAGCTGAAGGAGCCAGCTCATGCAGGGCAGCATTTGCCATATTAAGAAATTCTGGGGCTGGCCGAGTGGCTCAGTTGGTTAAGAGTTAGCTTAAGAACTCTGAGCAACAGGGCCTTTGGTTCTAGTCTCACATAAGCCAGTGACACTGTGCCTGAGCTGAGCTGCCACTGAGCTGCCAATAGGTGGCAGGATGGCTCAGCTGGTGAGAGCACATGCTCCTAACTACAAGACTGCATGTTCGATGGTGAGCTACACCCTCCCGCCCGCAACTAAGACTGAACTGGGCACCTTGAGCTGAGCTGCCACCGAATGGCTCAGGGGATAGAGCACGCGCTCTTAACAACAAGGCTGCCAGTTAGACTCCCGCATAGGATGGTGGCTACGCCCACCCACAACTAAGATTGTATCACAGCTAAGATTGTAACCTTGAGCTTAGAAGCCACGAGCTGCCAATGGGCAGCCAGATGGCGACTGGCGTCCTCCACAACTAAGATTAAAGAACAACAACTTGGGGCCAGCCGAGTGGCGCGTTGGTTAAGAGCTGGCTTGGGACACCAGAGGGCCCCGGTTCAGATCCCACATATGAGGGCCAGTGACACTGCCCTCTACAGCTAAGATGCTGAACAACACAGCTCAACCTGGAGCTGGGCTGCCGTGAGTCACTGGCGACGGCGTGGGCTGCAGCCCCTGCTACAGTGGGTTGCCATGGGCTACCGTGTGTGGCCAGCAGCCAGCGTGAGCGGCCAGCAGCCGCCGTGAGCGGCTGTCCAGAAGCTGGCGACTAATCTGCCTCGCCTGGGAAGAGTGCAATGATGGTGGCAACTTGGGCCAGTGAAGCAACATCCTCCATAACTAGACTGAAGAACAAAAGGACAGCAACTTGTCTGTTCCCCTTTCCCCAATTCCCCAGCGCTGTTCCCATCCCCCAATTCCCCAATTAAAAAATCTTAAAAAAAAAGAACAACAACTTGGCTGGTTTGCCTCCCCAATTTCCCAATACTGTTCCCCTCCCCCAATTCCCCAATTTTAAAAAAAAAAGAAAAGAAATTCTGATTCTAAGTGCAGTAAGACACTGCAGGGTTGTAAGTGGGAGTAATTTGATCAGATATATGTGTTTCAAAAGATGGTTGTGGTTGCTGAATGAAAAACATTAAATGGACCAAGAGGGGACAGAGGAGAACAGTTGCGAAGTAGTTCAGTAGAATAGAGGAGCGATGTTGCTGAAAGTGTGGAGAGGGCAAGTGGAACAACTTGAGATGTATTTCGGACATTGAAAAGTCAGGATTTGGTGGCAGCTGGAAGTGAAAGTGTAGAAGAGGAAGGGGAAAGTATCAGTGAAGCTTCAAGTTTCTGACTGTCATAAATGGGCAAATGATGGTGCCATTTACCTTGATGGAGTGTATTCTAGGAAAATGAGGTGAAAGCTACCTGCCAGGCCAGGAGGGAAGACAAGTTAACAGTGATGTGCTGTGTAATGCATATTATAAGAGATGTGAACTGGATATCATGAGTGTCTAGGGGAGGAGTACTTAACCTGGAGATAAAAGAAAAGGCTTTCTGCCAAATGTGATCCTTGAGCTGTGCCTTGAAATGAACGTAGCATGTTTATAGTCACATAATTTTTAAAAATGTCACATAACTTCTCATTAAAAAAAATCCAACAAGATATATTTGGATTGGCCAGTCCCTATTGACTGAGTCAATAATTTATATAATATGAATAATTAAAGAGCTATCTGGCTCTGTCTCTAAACCTAAAAATCTGTGTTATTCTTATATTTGGAATTGTCTCATTCATTCATTCAGAAGGTATTCTTGAATGCTGACTATTTCAAGATTAGAGATACAACGGTGAACAAGACAGATTTGGTCATTGTTCTAGTAGGGTTTATAGTTTAGTGGAAAAGACGAGAAACTAAGCAGATAATCATATACATAATTAATTAATTGTAGTTGTGATTAGGGCCATGAAGGAAAAATACAGGGTGCTAGACTTGACTATAGAGCTCATAACTCTAACCTGTCAATGCAAGCTCTGGTACCTACTAGGAAAAATACAGGCACTGGTTTATTTTGACTGTAAATACATACCGATAGGTAATATATGATAATTAATGCTTTTGTTTTTACTGGGTCTTTGCCATCCTTATGGATTCTGTACAACCCCCCCCCCAAAAGAAGAAAATAAATAACAGCTGATTCTTCATATTATTTTAGTATAAGTTCAGGATGGATTCAAATTCTACCCATCCTATCCCTGAAAGTATTTATTACCCTCGTTGGGATTTTTAAAATATCCAGTGTGAAGTAGTTAAAGAAAAATCCCAGTGTTCCTTGTCTGGCTGGCACAGGCCTATTCCATTGTATCCCGACATCCTGGCAGAGCTTGGCACTTTGATGCTGTAGCCCAGGGGTCAGCAAACTTTCCTCTGGAAATATATTTCCTCTGGGTCAGATAGGAAATATTGTAAGCTTAATGGGCCATGTGATTTCTGTTATAACCACTCAACTGTGCCTCTGTGCATGAAATTAGCCATAGACAGTACGTAAATGAATGGGCATGGCTGTCTCCCAATAAAACTTTATTTACAAAAGGAGGTGGCAGGTCATGTTTTGCTGCTGTGCTGTAGTTTCTTGTCCCGAATTTGGATGTTGTACCAATCACAGGTTAGCTGCAGAGAACAGAATCTACTCTAGCTAGTTTAAGCGGATAGGTCGGCATTAAAGGGTATTTCAAGATTTATAGTCTCATTGGGAAAGTTGAAGAGCTGAACCCTAGGTTAGGTTTCTAGGAACACCTCATAGCAAACACCTAGTAGAATCGGGCTAGTGTTCCTGGAGCTTTTGCCACGACTAGGAAAGCAGCCAAATCAGGAAGCTGCTGTCTCCTGAATCACACCACCTCTGCTAGAGCCTTAACCAGGAGAACAGGTACCTCTGTTCTGCTCTGCCTCCCTTCATCTTTAACTCAGACATGTAAGTACATCCAATGGGCAGAACTTAAATTACAGCTAGCTTCCAGGGAGTCGAGGAAAGACAGCTTTTAGTACTTGTGGCACAAGAAATTCAAGAAGGTACACTAAAAGGAAGTTGGAATAAATTTTGGATGAGAAGACCTGCGGTATATGCTACAGAACACCCCTTTAGCTGCTTCCCATCCATACTCTCCCCATTTCTTTCCAAACCTAAACTTCCAGGCACCAATGGCAATAACATTGTGCTTTCTCCCAAGATAATGCAACTATCCCTCATAAGAACACAAGTGCACTCACCTTCTCCCCAGAGTCCTATAGGCCACCACATCATGTGCAATGTTCATCACAGACATTGTCCTGGGACCTGGCACACTCAGGAATTAAGTGGCCTGTCTGCTTAGGGAAAGGGGAAGTGGGAGAGGGACAGCTGCTCAACAACCCGCTAGAGAATAACAGCTCAGTTCTGCGAAGCTTCCACCCATATTCTTCATCCTCTTTCCCTCTACTAGCAAATGCCCTCTGTTTCTCGGCATTCTGAATATTGCTTCTCTTAAGGAAATCCTCTCCAGACCCTACGTTTGTTTGTAGCTATTGGCCTCTCCTTTTTTTAAATTTTTTTAGCCAAGCTTTCCCCTCTCCTCAGGCCCTCACTTCCGTAGACTCTTGAGCACACTGCAGTCTGGTGTGGTGACTGCTACTATTCCTCTGTGAACCTCGAGGTGCTAAATGCGGTGAACACTGACCACTGCTCGAAGCACTCGCGTCCCTTGGCTTCCAGATACCCTTCTGTGTCTGATTTTCCTGCTGCTCCTCCTCTGGACGGCTGTCAGGCATTGGTTCGGTCTCAGCTCTCTCCTCCTTAACTTTCTACCTATTCTTTTACTCACAGACATGAGCTAGCACCAAGCTTCCATCCCCCATTAAGATGCTCTCCTGAGCCTTGTACCTACATGTGTAAGTGCCTACTAGATAGCCCTTCTTCTAGGTCATGGGGACCCCAATTCCCCTATGTTCCAAACTGGATTAATTGGTCACATACACCCCACCTCTACCCTGCTTATCTCAGCAAACAACACCAACTTACACAAGGAACAGCCTTGGGAGGCATACCTGATTCTTCTTTCTCTGTCACTCACCTCCCTGTGTCACCTCTACATACTTTGTCTCCACTGTCGCTTTCCTAGTTCAGGACTCTTTGCCTTCTCACTTAGGTAACTGCAATAGCCTCTCCACTGATAGTTCTCCCAGTTCTAAGGTCTTGCAGTCCTCTAGCCACGTCTCCTCACTATGACTGTTTTAACCTGCCTAAAACAACTCAGGTCATGTTGCTGCTACCCTATTTAACATCTACCAGAGCCTCCTGTCCGCCAACATGATCAAATTCAAAGTTCTGAGCACTATGTATTAGGCCTCTTCCATTCTCTAATCCTGTTTATTCCCTCCATTCGTTTTTCTCACCACTACCCTCCACCCCCCCACACACACACGTGGACTTGAACCATATAAACGCCTAGTGCAAAATGATCCTAACATACTTTACCCTGTGGGGCCTCTGTGTTTTTGCAAATGCTGGTACCTTCCGCATCTCTTGGCCTTACTCATGCAAAGTGTTTCCTGCTGCAGGTGTCCTTCCTGGGTATTTTCATAGCACCTGCCATCCTGAATGAAGCACCAGTGCAGTGAGTTCCAGCTGTCTACTAGTCCTGGCTTCACACACCCCCCCCAAACCAGCAAGTCTTGGTGCTGAGTAAGTTTTCAACACTTACTTTATTAATGACATCAAAATGTTAATTGAGCAAGTGAAGAAATCATTGATTTTTACATGTATTCGCCACAAGATGGTGCTGTTTAGATAAGAAAGAAAACAAAGCCTCTCAAGGCTGAAGGATTCAAGTACAGTACTAAATGCCTTAATTTTTTTCTAGATGCCTTAATTTTAAATGTGTTAAATTTCAGAGGCGATGCTTTAAACACGTAAGCTTTTTTTCTGTGGTAAACATGTGGGCATATTTAAAACTGTATACATGCATATATTTTATTTACTTACTATTGTTTGGGAACCTCTCTTCCCAAGTGGTCATGTCTTAAAAATACAACTGTAACCCTTAATTCTAGGGCAACAAACTTTTAAGGAAGGGTGTATTAGGGTTCTCCATAGAAACAAGAACAATAGATTAGAGAGACAGACAGAAGGAGGAAGGGAGATAAGGAATTGGCTCATGTGATTGTGGGGGCTGGCGAGTCCAAAATCGACTTTCTTTTTCTATCTATACTCACTCTGTTAATAATCTCATATAGTCTTTAGCTTTGAAATATAATCTATACACAGATAAATGCCCAATACACATCTCCTAGTTGGACCTTTCCCCCAAACCCCAGACTCTCTATTCTATGCCTACTAAACATCATTAGCAAATCCTCTCTACGTCATATGACATCACATCCTGTGTACATCATATTTGATTACAACAGGAGGCGCATAATGTCTGGCTGTGGTCAGTAAGACTGATCATTTGAATTAGGGTGCTGAATTTTTTTGTTATACTCATTGGATTTTCTATTTCAGATGCATTGGTTTACATTATATTGGTTGCTTTTTTTCAATCTCCATAGCTATATATTTTTTTCAAATTGCTTTATTTTTATTGTCTTTTTTCATTTTCATATTCTGTGATTTTTTTTTCAAGCCTTTCCACTGTGTTTAATTAACTGATAGGATTTTGAGTTATCTTTATTCCATTCTTTGCTGTTTCTATTTTTTCCTAATGGTGTTAGGCCCTTGACTTGTCCACAGTCTCCCTTTTCATCTAATTCTGTTATCTCATCTTTAATTTTTGTTTCATTGATTACATATTCTCTTTAGTGTCTCCTAGAGCAGTGTTACTCAAAATGCTTGTGTATAGTATTGTAAGAAGCATGCACCAAATATAGTACTAATTTACAATATAGTATTGTAAGTAAGCCATGCTGCTTTCTTCATTGAGAATGTCTTGCTATGAAAAAAATTTCAGCCAAACTACCGGTAAACAGCATACTTAACTAATATGTTGATTTACATCCTGGCACCATCTCCTTATCATGTCATAGACTGGCACCAAGTGGTTCCACGACTGGCACCTTGTCCATGAACTATACTCGGAGCAGACTGCCCTATAGCATAAGCATTTGTTGTGTAAATTTTTTTAGCTTTTTTCTTATGTATTTAATAACATAATAGTTGCTAACATTTATGGGGCACTGTTCTAAGCCGTTTTGATCTACATAAAAACCCTAAATGTTAGGTACTGTTATTATCGCCATTTCACACATGGCAAAATCAAAGTACAAAGATACTCAGTAACTTGTACAAAGTCTCCCAGTTTTTTTATATAGCAGGGCTGGGGTTTACATTCAGGCAGCCTGATTCCAGACCATGTAGTCTTAATAGAAATGGAATGTTTTAGTTTTCTTTTGTGTGCTGTGATTCTCCTTTATACCCTTTTTTCTATGTCCTGTAATATTTTTGCATATTTGCCAAGCTGTTCTTGTCATCTTATGCCTGTTTAATGTGGGGGACCCTCTTTTGCTTGGATATAAAGTGGACCCGTTCCGGATTCTCCTTTCTTCTTATGTCAGACCTGCTCTGTTCTTCCCTTCAGAACTTCATCCTGATGGGCTTTGTGTTTCCACATTTCTCTTGCCTGAAGGGATGTGACTAGCTCATTTGGGCTGGGGTCATAGTACTTGGTAACTTCTGTTGTTTTAGATCTTTGTTGGGACAAGGGGTGGTGGTGGGGGTGTCATTCTATCAAATTAAAAACGAAACAAAACAAAAATATCTAGCCAACAGCAATTTGGCCAAATCTATTGCTATTACAAATGCATTTGTCCTTTGATATAGCTATCCTATTTGGAAGAATTATTCTGCAGATGAACCAGCATACATTTGAAATGATTTTTGTTCAAAGTTATTCATTGCAGGATTGTTCATAATAGTAGTAGACTGGAAACAACTCACATGTCCAAGAACAGGGGACAATTATGGTACATCCACATACTGGAAGATTATTTCGTTGTAAATAATAAGAGTGAGGTAGTTCTCTATGTGCTTATATGGAAAGCTCTGACATCATAGTATTAAAGGGAAAAGCTATCTATTGATCTGCTGTTTGGGTGTGTATGTGTGTTTGTATATGTGTGTATGTATGAAGGATACATTTTTTGAAAAAACAAAGAATATATATTCAAAAAGAAACAGCATAAGGGTATAAGAGGATTTCAGAAAATTGACCACCTTAGAGGTAACAGGATGGATAATGAAGATAAGGATGAGGGTGAGACTTTTCAATATAAGTGTTTTCAACCACTATTGGGTAGTTGGAAAAGTCATGACGTATTTTGTCTGTGTCATTTATTTATATAAAGAACAAAGATCAATCAATGATGTATTGTCCATTTTGTTTGATAACCTTTTGCCATCTTTCAGTGAGCTTCATAATTCCTCATTCATAGAAGGACCTGTCTTTATTTGCGAAAAATTGAACAAGGTGCTGATTTACAGCCTCATCTGAATTGAACGTTCTACCACGCAAGAAGTTGTTTTTTTGTTTGTTTATTTGTTTTCATTGTGAAATACACATTTAAAAAATAATTAGTTTCAGCTGTACAACACAGTGCAATAGTTATACTTTTTACCCCTCAAAGTGACCACCCCCTCCTCCAATCCGCTGCTCCACCATCTCCCCAATATCATACATATCTATTACAATTCCCTTGACTCCACTCCCACACTGTACTCCACGTCCCCTGACTATATATATGTATATTCACTTATAGTTGACATACAATATTATATAACATCAGCTTCAGGTGTACAGTGCAGTGATCAAGCCTCTAACCCATCCATGATGCGGTATCCCTAACAAGACATATGACCATCTGACACCCTACAAAATATTTACAACATTATTAATTATATTCCTCGAACTGTCTTTCATATCCCTGTGGCAATATTGTAGTTATCTATTTATGCTGTCTAATCTCTTCCCTTTCTCCCTCATCCCCACCCCCCTCCCAAATTTGCAACGATATGGATGGACCTAGAGACTATTATGTTAAGTGAAATAAGTCAGTTGGAGAAAGACAAATACCATATGATCTCACTTATATGTGGAATCTAAAAACTGAATGAATGAGCAAAGTAAACAGAAATAGTCTTAGAGATATAGAGGAACAACATGCAAGAAGTTTTGAAGAGAGCGAAACAAGTGGAAGTCTGATGGCACAAGGTCAGGCGAGTATGGTGGGAGTATCCAAGCTCCAATAATTTTTGACGGGTGATCAAACTTGTGTGTGGTCTCAGGTTGTCACGATGGAACACAATTCCTTTACAATTAACAAGCTCTGGACGTTTCTGGATGATGGATTGTTCAAACTGTCCAATTGCCGACAGTACACATTCAAATTGATTGTTTGGTTCCTTGGTAGGAGCTCGAAAAACATGACACCTTTAAAATCCCACCACACTGAGAGCATAACTTTCCTCCGATGAATGTCTGCTTTCGATGTCGTTTGAGGCGAATCATCACGTCAGGGCCAAGACAGTTTGCACACCACATTGTTGTAAACAATCTACTTCTCATCACCAGTTATCAGTTGCTTCAAAAAAAGAACATTTTTCTCACATTTAATGAGCATATTGTAGATGGTTATACGCACCGTCAAATGAACTTCTTTGAGTTTATGTGGAAACCTAAATATCGAGTTTGCTTACGTATCCCAGCTTCTTCAGGTGGTTGTGAACACTTGAATGATGGATGTTCAATGTTCCTGCAATCTCTTCTGTCGTGTAACGTGAGTTTGACTCGATCAATGTCTTTATTTTGTCATCATCAACCTCGGTAGGCCTCCCTGACTGAGGAGCATCATTGAGATCAAAATCACCAGCATGGAATTTCGTGAACCATCATTGGCACTGACATTCTTTTTTTTTTAAAGATTTTTTTTATTATTATTGGGGAATTGGGGAAGGGGAACAGACAAGTTGCTGTCCTTTGGTTCTTCAGTCTAGTTGTGGAGGACGTTGCTTCACTGGCCCAAGTTGGCACCATCATTGCGCTCTTTCCGGGCGAGGCAGATCAGTCGTTGCCTTCTGGACGGCCGCTCACTGCGGCTGCTGGCCGCTCACGCTGGCTGCTGGCTACATACGGTATCCCATGGCAACCCACCTGCCACAGGGACTGCAGCCTACGCCGACGCCGGCGACTCACAGCAGCCCAGCTCCAGGTTGAGCTGTTGTTCAGCATCTTAGCTGTAGAGGGCAGTGTCACTGGCCCTCATATGTGGGATCTGAACCGGGGCCCTCTGGCATCCCAAGCCAGTTCTTAACCAATGCGCCACTCGGCCAGCCCGGCACTGACATTCTTGTAGAGCATTGTCACCATAAACTTTATGCAACTTTTCACAAGCTTGACACGCATTCTTCCCTTTATGGAAGTAAAACAGTAAAATATGGCCAAAAATCCACAGTTTGGTCTTCTATCTTCAACTTGTAGAATTTTAACCAAATTGCTCAATTTTTTTTTAGAATGAAGCTAGAACTGTCAGCTGTCAAATGACATAGCAATAAGATAGATGCACATGACTCTAGTACATCCAAAAATGAACTAGTGCCATCTGTCGCAAACATGCATCATAACTTTTCTGACAACCCAATACCTTTTCTAAAAATGTAAATTCAAAAGTGAATAGACACACGTTTTTATTCCTGTGAACAGTCCTTTCGTGTGCCTCTCCCTGGCGGCCATTTCACTCTCCTCCCATTTAGCTGAGGAGAAGGACATGAAACCTAAATGTTTTAACCCTGGTGCTGACCATTCCTGATGGGGAAGGAGAACTTTAAAGGAGACTTTCCAGAATTCTTTTTGCCAGCCTTCTCCTTATCCCCATTTCCTTCTGTGCTCCATGCCTTCCTTCTTTATGGAGATATTGACTCAGAGTGAGCACAATCATTGGTTCCCTCCTTTGCTGCTAGCCTTGAGAACCACAGTGATGGATCCGACCATTTCTCCATATCTGAATCACTGTGGTGGTGGGAAAGGCAGATCTCCAGCATACAGCTTTCAACATCTTTTTCCCTTGGCTGTGTCCTTACTTTCTCTCTCTCCACTTTAGAATGTCATAGTGAAGTTTTTCAGACATCGTTATTAACTTTCTTCTCTCTGGACTGCTTAGGGTAGGTATGCTTGAAAGCTGGAACAGGACATCATAGATTTCTGAAATGTTATGCCCTTTTTTGCTGACTGATGTTTAAGAAATATAAGGCATAAAATACATTTTAAAAAATTTATTTCAAAAGATTTTGTGATCTGGCTTGACTCACTATTTTATCTTAGAAATTGTTGACGCTTTTTAAAAAAAATTTTATTGGGGAGATGGGGGAGGCAAACAGCGTTGGGGAATCGGGGAAGGGGAACAGACAAGTTGCTGTCCTTTTGTTCTTCCGTCTAGTTGTGGAGGGTGTCCCTTCACTGGCCCATGTTGGTATTATCATTGCACTCTTCCTGGGTGAGGCAGATAGGTCGCCGGCCACAGGACAGCTGCTCACGGTGGCTCACAGGCAGCTCACACCGGCTGCCGGCTGCTCACGGTAGCTTATGGCAGCCCACTGCAGCTTCACTGCAGCCTACGCCGTCACCGGGACTCATGGCAGCCCAGTCCAGGTTGAGCTGTTGTTCACCATCTTAGCTGTAGAGGGTGCAGCATCGCTGGCCCTCATGTGGGATCTGAACTGGGGCCCTGCTGCTCAGAGCTGGCGTCCCAAGCCAACTCCTAACCAACACGCCACTGGCCAGTCCCATTGACACTTTTTATGAAGATCTGTTGTATGACTTCAGGGGCACTTATCTGCGGCAGCTAGTGATTAAGATAAAGATAAAGCAACTTTGTTAAGTTGCTTTAACAAACCTATCCTATTAAGTGAAGATCCTAGAACTGACACAGAAAATAGATGCCTCTGAATGGTTTAACAATTGTTTTATTATGCAGGAGAAGCTTCTTTAGGCAACTTCCCATAATAAAACCTTTTTTCATAAAGCAATAAGAAGTCAGCCGTTAATCCTAACCTATGAGGAGGGTTGAAATTCATTTGGCTTTATTATTTGGGATGTATGTGTGTATGTATGAGTGTAGCAGTTTAGAGTTAGTATGCTTTGGTAGTTGGCACAATGTACTCTGAAGTCAGGGCCTAAATTATAGATATATGACAGGCAGTCGCCAGCAACTCCTCTATTCAGATGCAGTAGCAAACCCTTTTACTCCTGACATACATTAGGAAGAAGCTCTCCCTGTGTTTTTCCTTATCTTTTCTTCCCATAACAGGTTTTCACCATTTTTACTCGTTTCTTCAACACCTGAATTATTTTGGTATATGTAGCTGTGTTACTTATGCCATTATGAATGTAATTCTGATTTCGTATTGAACTGTAGTCTTTGCCCATGAACAGCAAATAAAAATGCTCTGGAATACAGCCTGGAGGCCCCTATTTGAAAATATGGAACCTATATTTATCTAGTCTAAATTTTTTGTCTTTTGATAAAAGAATCGTACCATCGTGAAACCACCTATTTTGGAGTTGTATTAACAACATTGCCAACATTATCTGAATGTTTATTTAAACTAGATTCACATAGAGTACTTCTCTTTCATGGCTGATCTAATTCATCCACTCTGGAGTTAGGATTTTTAAAATAAAAGAATGACTGTAGACAAAAGTAATTTTTTTGTTGATTTCACTGGGGAAAATCACAAGTCTTTGTTTCCAGATTTCACTTCCAAACTGAGATGTTAATGTTTCCCTAGGTGAAAAAAAATGTTTTATTCGGTATTCCTAGGATTAGCTGGAAAAACAAGTTGCTTACTTTTAACAACCCTTATTACAATTCCTCTACCAGCCCCACTATAACAGTGCCAGACACTAGACAAACAAAAAAACTCTTAACCAGTGAGATTTGATATTGCAGATCTCTGTATGCTGAGTCAGTAGAGCTGCCTGCCAGCCATCTTTAGGATATATTTATTCTGTTTTGTGTTTGTGTTTGATACAAAAATAAATTGTGTATTTACTATTAGAATATTCTGTTTCTTTAGATTTTTCATGTTGCTAGTCTACACAATAATTTGATAGTGGAGAAGTTGGATTTAAACTCCAGATGGATAGAGGGGTATGGTAACTTTTCTCTAAAGTACCAGAGTAATTTATTTTAATCTGGAGGTTTATGGTGCTAATATAGTACCATTTACAATTTCCAGATGTCTCCTGTTATATTAAACTTACTACCTGTGGTAGCCTTTGTAAAGCTCACAAAAAACAAACGATTTTGTTTCTCAATGATCTGTGTGACATTTCTGTCTTAGGACCTATATATTGTAGGGTTTTTGAGGTTTTCAGGTCAAATGCAAGTTTCTGTTTTGAATGTTTTGATTAAATATACAATATTTTTCTCTTTGTTATTTTCTCTTTTAGAATGAAAAGAAATGCTGAGAAATAAATAAAGCTTTGCCCGTCTGACTTGGATATTTATAATGGGTATCGGGAAGTCTAAAATAGATCCCTGCCCTATTTCCCTCCCTTTGGGTAAAAGCTACAGTGTGGATGCAAGTCAAAGACATCATGAGTCAGGTTCCAAGAAATCTGAAATCTCCCTGTGTGATGTTGCTGAGCATAGCAGTACAACAGAGATGCCAACAGGAGAGCGGGAGAGAGCTGATGAAATGGAAGAGGTGCCTGAAGAGGATTCAGAAGAAGAGGTGTTCCTCAAATTTGTGATATTGCATGCAGAAGACGACATCACTGAAGCTCTCCGAGTCCAGGATCTGCTACAAAATGACTTTGGCATCAGACCTGGAATAATCTTTGCCGAGATGCCATGTGGCAGACAGCATTTACAGAATTTAGATGATGCTGTGAATGGGTCTGCATGGACAATCTTATTATTGACCGAAAACTTTTTAAGAGATACCTGGTGTAAGTTCCAGTTCTATTCATCCCTAATGAACTCTGTTAACAGGCAGCACAAATACAACTCTGTTATACCCATGCGGCCCCTGAACAACCCCTTGCCCCGGGAAAGGACGCCCTTTGCTTTGCGAACCATCAATGCCCTAGAGGAAGAAAGTCGCGGCTTTCCTACACAAGTAGAAAAAATTTTTCAGGAGTCTGTGTATAAGACACAAGAAACTATATGGAAAGAGACAAGAAATATGGTACAGAAGCATTTTGTTGCCTGAGATGGAACACAGAACACATGGCTGGCTCTTGTCTTGTGAAACAAATGATTTATCTTCACTTGAGAAAGCAATTTCCTGGAAAAGTTAAATAAAAGAGATCCTTATTCTTACAGAAACCTACAGAGCACAAGAAAGATAAATTTCTGCCGGACAATCTATAGACTTGTGGTACTTTTTGCTGTTTCAGTAAACTTGGGAACGTCTGAGTTTCAAGAACTTGCCTCTCACCATTTTCTTAGTTCATGAATATGACAAAGGATATTCTCAATTCATAGTCCTTGTATTGAACCTTGAACAAAAAGTTGTTGGATAGACCTTTTAAAAATATATAATAACACTTCCTGTCACTGAATTTTGTTCTCAAAGGACACACCAAGAGATCTGACCACTTCCCTTTTGAGACACCTCTTATCAATGTTGTGATAAAGCAGCCCCATATTGTCACTCAGAAACCTGGATAGCTAGAAAAGAACATATGGAATATTGACTACTGACGAGTATGAAATCAGAAATAGATGTGAAAATGGTGGGGCTTTTAAAAAACCAGTCAACTGTATTTTCTTCCTGCTGGAATTTGCATATTTAGAGGCAATTCCCACCACTGATCAGCAAGCCCACTTTGATAGTATGGTGGTTAGGGACTCCACGGAAAAGTGTTGAGATGTCCCCTGGAGCTGGAAGGTCCCCATGTTCGTCATTTTCTCTAACAGGGTTTTATTTGCAGAGCTTCTGAAAGGTGCATGATTGTGTGTCTTTGGCCGGATGATCAATAACCTCTCTTAGGGTAACCTTTAAAAATTCCTCTCATGCACAATGAGAGAAACTTTCTATCCAGGAAGTATTTCTCAGTTAGGTGTTTAGAGTAGCCTGACTCTGTGTGTGTGTGTGTGTGTGTGTGTGTGTGTGTGTGTGTGTGTGTGTGTGTGTTAGATAATTTTTAGACTTTGGAGAGAAGTAGAAGATGTGTTTTTTCTCCTCTTCTAGTACCCCACACTCATAGCAAACCAGAGAATCCCCAAAAAGAACTAGCCCTGTTTCTCACTGCCCTACTGCCCCAGCTGAGGTTGAGGGAGAGTTCTCAAATACAGACTGGGACAGGGTCGGGTATGAATCATGTCATGTAATGCGAAAAGCACCTGACGGGGCTCAAGAGACCTGGTTCTAGCCCACTCTGACACTGAGGATGAATGTGACTCTGGGCAAGCCATTACTTTCCCTCTTTTACCTGTGAAATAAAAGGACTGAATGGATGGATCTCTAAAGGCCTTTGTTCTCTCCTACAATGTGAACAGCTAGGAACCAGAAAAGGGAACAAGAAAAAAAAAAAAGAATTTTATAATATGATATGATTTTATAATGTGATAGGTACTGTAACAGTTGCAGGAGGCTTTATCTATGCTTACAATGAAAGGGCAGCCTTCTGTGTTTTCAGCGTAATTGATTTCAAATGCTGTCCATTATGCTTTTATAGTCACAGAGAAGAATCTGCTTACTCAGATTTTCTTTAAACATAATTTTTTAGAGACCCTTGAGCAAAGACATTCTGCCTAATTTTTTTTTCTCAGTATCCCTTACTAGTACAGGGGTCTACTCACCTCTGTCTGCAGCCCACCTCTTCATAGTCATGAACCAAAATGTTCCTTGAGGATCATTCCCCAGTAATCCTGCAAGTAAGTCTAACTCTCTTCTTTACTAGTACTTATTAAAAGGAGATTGTTTTCATTGCACTGTGACATTTTCTTAACCTAAAGTCCCATTCTATCATAGTAGCTTACTACTCACTTTTCTTTTTTAGTTTTAATACGTTTTTTTTTAATTGGTTTCTTTGTTGTCATACTGCTTCCTTTTATCTCAAATTTCACACACCAACAAAACATTAATCACCCACCCTTTGTGCCTGCCAAACTTGGAGCAATTGATGCTAGATGGTATTTCTTAAATAAATGTTTTTATTCTTTACCCTTGACTGAACTTGATTATTACTGCAATGAAGATTGTAGAGAAGTGTTTTGAAAAGAGGCATCAATCTGTACTCTTCTGTAGAGCACGAGGTACAATGTCTCACTCGATTTGCAGTTCAGTATACTTTTTATGATGAAAAATGTTAAGTACCAAGTAACTGTATATATTGAACTTAACATTTGTAACAAGGGATTATGAAAATAACTAAACTGAGGATGAAAGAAGGGAAAGGTGTGGGCTTAGTTGTGTGTTTGTGTGTATATACATATGTACAAATATGTAGATTTAGATTTGCACACACCTTTAGGGAAATTCTGGAAAATTTTTCCACATGCTGGAGAGCTTCCATTTTGAGCACTCTGTGGGCCCCATTGCCCACCCTGGAGCTTCACAGAAGCTTCAGCTGTAAAAAACATAAACCAATGCACATGTCCTACACCACAAGGTAGACTCATCATCTACCTTAACAAGAGGTCCGTCCCCTAAAATACGGTGTCTCAAAGGTGTCATTAAAAAACCAAGTTCTTACAGACAGTGGAATATTATTGCAACTTAAAAAGGAATAAAATTCTGATACATGCTACAACATAGATGAACCTTGAAAACATTATGCTAAGTGGATGAAAGCCAGATACAAAAAGACAAATACTGTATGATTCTACTTATATGAGGTACCTAGAGTAGGTAAATTCATAGGGACAGAAAGAAGAGTAGAGGTGACCAGGGGCTAGAAAGGGGGAGGCAAGAATAGGGAGTCATGTTTAATGGGTACAGAGTTCCTGTTTGGGATGATGAAAAAGTTCTGGAAATGGGTGCAACTTCGTGAATGCACATAATGCCACTGAATGGTATGGTTAGAATGGTAAATTGTGTGTGTGTGTGTGTGTTTTACCACAGTAATAATTTTAAAACCCCAGCTTCTTTTCCATATTTTTGCTCAGCCGTTCTCAGTGTTCCAGTCGAGCTCCCCTCAGAGTCGTATCAAGGTGGTTCCAGCGTCAGGCACCATAAACAGACGTGGCAACGTCCTGCTTAAAAAAAAATGACAGGAGTGATTCACCCAAGTAAGGAAAAATATTTCAAACTGCATTATTGAAAATTGCTTATATGTGGGATACTAATTCTAGTTGGTTTTATTATTATTTTAAAGTTCTCCTCACCTGCATCCGAGTGGACTCCCCCTACCGCCCCCCCTTCCCCTACACCCTCGAGTGCCATAGCTGTGGAGTCGGCCCACCTGCGTTTGAATCCCTCCCCGTCCCCTATAAATTTATGATCTTGAGCAAGACAGCTAGCCTTTGGGACTCAGTGTCTTCATCCTGAAATAAAAATAATACCTCCCTAGTAGGTTATTTTGAGGATTACATGAAATAACACATGTGAAGCACTCAAATAGTGCCCCCCACACAGCTACTGTACCAGTTCTCGGCTGCTAGAACTTCTGTTACCTTCCCACATTTAATCTGCACCACGGGATGGGAGAGAGGGCAAATACGAGTTTATAACTACCCCAAACCCTATACTTACAGCCCTTGCAACTTGTGGGGAATCGATTTTAAACAAAGAAAGAAATGCTGGGCCTTGTTTCTGTGTGCAGTGCAGTTCCCATCTGGGCACTGGAAATGGAGAGAAGCCCTTTGATCAGCAAGAGATATGCGAGCTGTTAAGGGTAGGCGTGGGTTTGGAGGGGGCCGGAGGCAGGGAGAATGCAAGAGCATGGCCTGGGGACTGGAGCAAGTCAGGGAAGTTGGATCATAAAGTAGAAAAGCAGGAACGTGGAGTCTAAGAGTGCCAGCTCTGAAGCCAGGTCGGAAATGGCCCAGGTACGGATGCCTCAGCTGTGTTTTTGTCGCTCCTCACCTCAGAAGCAGTGGATGAATGTATGCATTTGAGTTGGGGGGCGGCGCGGGGCGTGAGGAGGGTCATTTAACTCAGCCCTTTTCTGGGACCGAACAACCTGTAGATAATTTTGCCTCATTTGGGAATACACATTGATGAAGTTTAGTTAATCTGTTCTCCCTTGGGGAAGGCGGAGGGGGTAGTGAGAGAATCACTGGTCTGCTTTGCTCCAATCCTGTCCTGACTATGTGGATTTCTACCCTGAATTCATGGTTGCTTGCTAGACTTAACCCCCTCCAGTGCAAGTCACGGCTCTTTTCCATTTCATTCCCTTGCCCTTAAGGCATTGGTTGGGCATTGGAATGAAACCAAAAGCTCCTGTAAGGGCCCCAGGCCTCCGTGTGTAGGGAGTGACACAGCTAGTTACAAAAACAGCTTCCTTGGCTTCTCTCATTGACTGCAGCTCATTCTTAAACCCCGAGCCGGGTTGCTGACTGTGAGCATTGTTCCAGAGCCCTAAAAAGCCCAAGCACTTCACCTCCACATAGTAAATAAAACCTTGGATTGCGAGTAACATGGTTTGCGAGTGTTCCGCAAGACGAGCAAACATTTCTAATACATTAATTTTAACGTGGTAAACAAGCGATGTCTTGCAATGAGTAGTTTGTTTCCAGAACAAATTATGCTCGCAAACCAATGTATTACTGTATTACATTCACATGTAGATGAGACTTTGCAGAGCCATCTCCCTGCTCAGTAGAGGGTCCTGCAGGAAAGAAGTCAAAGCGATTTCACAGACTCCTGGGGAAATCTGAGTTGGCACCCAAGTTGCTGAGAATATAGGGTGGCTTAGTATAAATATCCAGTTCAGAATTGTCTCCTCCATAAGTCCCACTTCACGGTTGAGTCAGGCCATTTCCTCCTTTAGGTTAAGCCTCTTGACCCCTGACTGGGGTGGCCCAGGGCTGGGAGCTGTTGCACACAGCATTGCTGACAAGGTGTGTTTGCCCTGGGCACTCAGCCCGGTGCCTGTGTTCTCTTCCTTATCACAGTCTTACATTGCCCTGTCTTAGTGTCACCTGCTGGGAGGGTCATGGGGTGATGGTACAAAGTCTGAAGGGCAAGGAGGAAGTTTCAGAAAGCTGCCAAGCCCCTGATGAAATGAAACCATAGCATCTGAAAATTGGTGTCCTTAAGTCAATGACTAAAAGGAATGAACTAACACAAGAGAACCAATGTTATTGTCCATGAACCTGATGTTTCTTATGAGATTCCAAGTTAAAAAACGTATTTGATTTTGAATATTTAGTAGCTGGATAAGAATAATAATCTTACGTAATTTTTATTACAAGTCATATTTGGCCATCCACTTTGCCAATTAGCACATTAAGTTTGAATTGGAGTAAATAGTACTTGAAAGTGCCATAAATTAATAACTCAGAGCATGAAAGTTATTTGATTAAAAGCTCAACAAGTTAACCTGTGGGGGGCGGGCAGTCGCTCTCTTTTCTTTGCCAGTGCACTGGCTTTTGCAACTGTTTACTCCAAAATTTATGCTGGTTCACACCTCCCTCCCTTTCTGGCATGAGCAAGAATTGGTCTCGGGGGAAAATAACTCCTTTATTTGGTATAGCACTCCTCCCATTCTCTTCAAATAGAGTTAGTTCTGAGTCATTTTACTCTGAGGTGAATAAATAGGAATGCTTTTTATAGCAAATAACAGGAACCTGCATTTGAGCAGTTTCATAATCTAATTAGCAATGTTCCTTCCAGGTACGTACTCAAACAACAGGTTCAAAACAAGGAAATGTCTACACACTAGCTCCTCCCAGGGGATTTCCATAGATACACTGGACAGGACACATAACCAGTTTTACAGATGTCTTAAGTATATTTATAAATAAAAACACTGTTATGTGATTCTAAACTTATATTGTGGTGATGGCTGCACAATTTTGCAAATATATCTATACTAAAAACTATTGAGTTGTACACTTTAAATGGGTAAGTTTTATGGTATATAAAATACGGTATGTAAAAAAAAAAAAAAGAACAAATACAGAAAACCCCCATAGTTTGCAACAACAAAATTGTGATAACAGTTTGGAACAGAATTTAGCAATAGCTAATAAGGTTGAAAAGGGACATAAGAGTATCTTGTGAACCTAGCAATTCCTCCTCTGGATTTGTATTCTAGATTAATTATCCCACAGGCACCCAAAGAAGCCCTTGTGAAAAGGATGTCTATTTCAATATTGTTTTGTTATAGTGAAAAACTGGAAACAATCTAAATGTCCGCCAGTAGGACAATGCAGAAATACATTATGGTAGGTTCATACAATTGAACACTATAAAGCATCAAAAATAACAAAGCTACATATATATCAACTCGGGTGAATCTCAAAAACATAATGCTGGGTGGGTGGAGCAAGATATAGGATAATATGGACATTCTGACACCATTAATATAAAGTTTTAAAACAAGACAGCACTCTGTTTTTCATGGATACATACATAGGTGATAGTATATTATTTTCAATGCTTTTCTGTACATTTGAAATAGTTCATAATCATTTTTTAAAGTTGCACACACTTGTAATGGTAAGTATGTAGAATTTCCTTACACATGGTGATGATTTGAAGAATGAAAAAAATGAGGAAGACCCAACAAATAAATAAATTAGAGGAATACCTGCTGGTAATAATTGGTTTCGGTTTTTTTAACCTGTGTCAGGCACTTAATTTTCATTGTCTCCTGTTTCCACGTGGTTAGTATTAATAGTCCCTGAAAAACAAAGCTGGAAACCTAAGGAATAAGCCCAAATCACAGGCTGGTAGATGATGCAGTCCTTGGAATGTTAAGCGGCCTGGATCCAAACCTGGTGGTTTTTATGCTCCATAATACTGCTTCTCAATGGGCCTGTCTGCTTTCCCTTGGTGGAGATTAGGAGAGGTCAATAGCACAGAGAAAACCATAGCAATTTCTAGGTAAAAGCAAGAAGTGGCATGGTGAGGTAAGCTTGCCCTATTTTCAATCTTCGCCTAGTATGAATAACTCATGACGGGAGTCAGGAAATACGTGTCACAACATAACTGTGCTGCTGCCTAGCTAACTTTTTCAGTGTTCAGTCTTTAGGACTGAAATTCTGTCCTAAATGTTGCTTAGGACTCTTGTTTTCTTTGCTTTTGTTGCTCACACTGGATGATACGAATGTTAAAGGAAACACTGCTTCGATTTAGAGGGAGGAAGACAAACTAAGGGGACAGGATAAGTGGGAATTGTGTTTATTTCAAGAAAATTAGTGTTGAATCCATATAACTGTTTTTTTTGTGTCTTCAGAACAAAAAGGTTGTTCAGCAACGTACAAAACATTGACTAAATGAAACAAATATAGACATGTACATACACTCTACTCTGTGAGTTTCAGGAGGGGTTAGTTCTAAGAAAAATGATAACTTTTCATGCTTAGATTCATACTATAGGTAAAATTACTATAACAATGCCTATGTTTTGATGCGAGTGCAGCCTTTGGAGCCACAGTATCTGGGTTCAACCCCTGTTCTGCCATTTACTCCTTGGGTGACTTTTGGCAAATTAAACTTTCCATGTCTCAGTTGCCTCATCTGTAAAATGGATATCATAATAATGACTACCTCTTCAAGTTGTTGTGAAAAGTAAATTAGTTAATACAGGTAACATGCGTAAGACATGGGGAGGAAGGCATTCTAGGAAGTCACTTTCATGGCGACCTTGCCCACTATTCATGGCTGACCGCTAAGCGATTAGCTCAGTAATTAGATCCCAATTCTGATGGCCGCCCTATTTTTTCCCCTTCTAGACCATATGGGTTCACTTTCCTTGGATATATTTGCCTAAAGCCACAGAACAATCCATCTGCCACTTAAACAAAAACAGATTTATTGCTTTTAACGTAAAAAAAAAAAGTCTGTAAAAATGAGTCCCACCTTATGGCGGGCCTTCTCTGCACTGCCTCCTTCCAGCTGAGGCTGGATGTCTGATGCAGTCACACATCCAGTCATTGGAGCAGAGCCAAGAGAGAGAACTCAAAGGCTCTACTCTAAAGAGGGGATGACGTAAGGATTGGTAGTCATTGACCCCAGAGAGTCCAATACTTTCAGTGTTTCACTGAGTTTCATATCAGCTAAAGACCTGGCCGTTCATTCATTGGTCAGTCTGTGTGCTGTAGTAGTTACTGCATTGGTAGCAAGCAAGGAGAGGAAGGTGAGGGCAGCTCTAGCCTTGATTTCAGCCGCCAGGGAAATTCTGGCATTGGTTGATACTCTGCTACCTGGTTGGCATGGGGAGTAGATTTTATAATTCAGACTACCTGACAACTGGGGACTTAGAAGAACAATAGGTCCTGGTTATTATCCGCTGCTGAGATATTTCTTTTAGTCTTCCATGGACTGCCTCATTAGGCTCCAGGCTATTTTCTGTGGTTACAAAGGCCTACTCAACTTAAAAATTTTAATTCTATTTAATTTTTAAAACAGATAATGCATTCAAATGCTTGAAAATTCAGAGAGTACAATGAAACAATCAATTTCTATTCCCAAAACCAATTAATATTACCAGCTCCTTGTGTGTTCTTCAAAGATACTCTGCATATACAATCCATAACACCTGTGCGTATACATGTATCTACCCACACCTATCAATCAATCTCAGAGGTCATCCCATATCAATACATGAAGAGCATTTGGTTGTTTTTATTGACTGACTAATATTTCATTGTTTTGATGTATCATAATTTATTTTAACCAATCCCTACTGATGGGCTTTTTGGTTGTTTCCAGTCTTTGCCATTACAATGCTCCTATAACAAATAACTTTCTATGTGTGGAATTTTGTACTTGTAGGAATGAATGTGTTAGTAAGATAAAAGCCTAGTGGTACACTTGCTGGATCGATAAGCACGTGCATCTGAAATGTTTATAGGTACTGCCAAAGGGCTCTCCTTGTGGTTACATCAATTTAGACTCTTGCCAACATTATAAGCACCTGTTTCCCCAGATTTTTCCAAGGGTATGTCATCAAACATTGTGATTTTTGCCAATCTAGTAGGTAAAATATAGCATCTCAAAAATAGTATCTCATCGAATTTTTAATAGGAGGTTTTTTAAAAAAGTAAGGCTTAACACCTTTTCATGTGTTTAAGAGCCTTTGGTATTCCCTTTTCTGCGAACTATGTGTGTTTACCCTTTGCCTGAGTTTCTATTGGATTATTGGTCTTTCCATATTGATTTGTAGGGGCTCTTTATGTGTGGGATTAATTAGCTCTTCTCTGAGATTTAAGTTGCAAATTTTTTTCTCAGTGTAGTTTCTGTCTTTGTTTATAGTAGTTTTTTTCCATGTAAACATTTTTTATTTGTAAATAACATAATTTATCAATTTTTTCTTATATCTGAGCTTTTTTTTCTAGTTTATTAAAAATTATCTTCTGATTTTTTTCTAGTACCTTTATGGTTTTATTGTTCTCATTGAAGTTTTTGACCTTTATGGAATTAATTTTGGTGTAAAGTGTGGAATGTTGGTGTAATTACCTTTTTCCAGTTGTTCTAACACCCGTTTGTGATCATCTATATTTCCTTGATAATTTTAAAT